ACACACACACACACACACACACTACTACACACACACACACACACACACACACACATCACACACACACACATCCACACACACACATCCATCAGATGTTCTGCAGCTGCTGGATAGTTACCAGTCCTGAACGTAACTTGAGTCCGTGGCCTGATTTTGCAGCTTGGGTCGTAGCTCGTGGTGGTAACTGGCCAGGAAAGCCGGGCACAAGGAAGGGCTGGGTCTGCCCTCCCATGTCGGCAGCAGAACGTTACCCTTCCAAGTCTCCCATCTTTTTAGTAGGCTTTAGTTTGAATCCAGAGTCTATAGGCAGGGCCGGCTCCAGGGATTTTCCGCCCCAAGGAGCAAAAAAAAAGCCGCGATCGCGATCTGCAGCAGTTCAGCGGCAGCTCTACTCCCAAGAGGGACTGAGGAAGCCGCCGCCGAATTGCCGCCGAAGAGCCGGACGTGCCGCCCCTCTCGGTTGGCCGCCCCAAGCACCTGCTTGCTGTGCTGGTGCCTGGAGCCGGCCCTGTCTATAGGTTTTGCTGTGTCACGCTGCCTCCGGGTTCGGTGTGATCACCCGTCAATTGCAGACATGACTTTCAGCCTCGGACCTGGCTTTGATCTTCCTTCTATTGTACCTTTGTTCTTTTCTTTTTAGGGTGGACTCTTCTTACTTTGTTAGGGCTCTTGTCTGCATCTTCAGCCATTGGTGTTTGAGCTCCATTTCATCAGGACAGGCTGGGGCTGGAGGTTGATTTCATCATTCATACATACCTCATTCACACATCTAAACTAAACTAATAAGATTACAGTAGGGTTTTGCAAAAATGAAGGTTGCAGCAAGCCCTTACAAACTGAAGTGAGCATTTTAAAATGGAGTTTGAATTACAATATGGCAAACAGAGAACAGGCGTTACAATGTAGGGAAGTGTAGAGAATGGCAAACAATGAACAGAAGTTACAATACTGAAACAGTGCAAGTCTCAGGGCTGGTCCACACTAACCCCCCACTTCGAACTAAGATACGCAACTTCAACTACGTGAATAACGTAGCTGAAGTCAAAGTATCTTAGTTCGAACTTACCGCGGGTCCACACGCGGCAGGCAGGCTCCCCCGTCGACTCTGCGTACTCCTCTCGCGGAGCAGGATTACCGGCGTCGACGGCGAGCACTTCCGGGATCAATCCCAGAAGATCGATTGCTTACCGCCGGACCCGGAGGTAAGTATAGACGTACCCTCAGTGATTTAAGCAGGAATTGGATTGACAGTGAAACTTACAAGGGCAACTGGCTGAATGCTGTGGCCCTTATCAAGCATCTTAATTGTCAATTAGCCAGTTATCGGGGTGACCGGTTTTATGAATGAATGTTGTTTCATTCATAAAACTTCACTTATGAAGTTACATTAATAAAGTGAACAATTACAAACAATTTCATTCATCAGTTCTACACGCTCAGCTCAGCGCCCATGTATTGACAAGTGATGACCGTGGGAGGATAGGAGGGAGGGTCTGGAGGACACTCGCCAAGGCTGATGCTCAGGAGAACCCCCTTGGCCAGGCATTTATTTGCATGCGGGTTTCATCCAAAGAGTATAAACTACCCAGGAGATCTCTAGCTAGGCCGGGCTGTCTGGTGGGTAGGAGATTCACAGCCCCCTTCATTAGGGTGTGCCCCACAGGCCGGGGAAGCCATTGGGGTTCTCTCCATTGGAGCCGTGGCTACTGCAGACTGTGCTGGGCAAACGGAATCAGTACAAGGCACGTACAGACTCTGCCAATAGGAACAAAGCTCCTGGGAACATCTAAGGGGGGAGGAGTCGCAGCTGCACGGGGAGGGAGAGGCTGGTTTCAGGCATTAGAGACTGAGAAACAGCTCTAGTTAAAAGGGAGGAACTGAGCATGGAGAGAAGATGCCTCTTCTGGGGTGTCTCAGCCTGAGAGCTGGGGCTACAGCAGCCCTGAAGGGAGACGCACAATGGAGGGGGATGGAACAGTTTAGTTTGTAGGCGCCACCATCTTGAGTGTGAAGTGGCCAGTGTGTGTGTGTGTCACTCTTGTTCCCTACAATGCGAATGGGAAATTCCAGCACCAGAGAGGCCTGAATGTCGGTGTAGAATCCGCTTTCCCCAAGGCTCTGTCTATACTACAGAGTTCAGTCGCGATCACAAACGGCAATAATTGCATCGCTTGTGCATGTTCACACAATGCTCCCTGCATGGGCGGAGCACGGCCACGGTTGGTGCTCGAGCAGTGACAGAGAGAGCAGTGCACCCTGGGTAGCTATCCCACCATGCAACTTGGTATGTCCTGCTGCCAGGAGTTGTGGGAATGGGGAACGGATCGCAGTGCATCATGGGTGCAGGCTCACTGTCCCATGATGCAGTTTTTTTCTATCCATCATTCCCTGGGCTTCCCACTACATTTGGTGCCCTTTTTTCAACAGCCCCTGTAAACTGGGCACCCACCATCTCTGCCTGAAATCATGGATCCAGCCCCGCTCTTGCAGCCTGGGGATAAGGGTTATGAACACAGGGGGGGGGCTGATCACGCAGTATTTCATGAGCTGCAAATGTGAACAGGAATTACTGTATTAGCCTCTCCCTCACACTAGCACAATAATATGTGGGAACAGAGCTGCGGGGAGAACTGGTTTTGTAACCACATACTGGGGAAATGCACCACCTAAGTTTTTGGTGCTTTCATATAGAAGAGTGGTTCTCAACCAATTTACCATTGTGGGCTGCATATGCAGCTCTCTGCGTGTTATGTGAGCTGCATCCACACAATATATATGCTACCTGTATGGCCCTGAGGATGTCATGGGCCGCAGCTGTGTGCTGATTGGGCAGGAAGTGGCCCGCGGTCTGCGGCTTGAGAACCACTGGTGCAGAAGAACAGCTTGTGGTGGGTGTGGGAGAGGAAGACTGCTGCCCCCTACTGGACAGAATGAGACTTCTTTGTGTGTGTGTATTTGTGCTACTCTTTACGGGGAATTAGGTTTTGTAATGACCCAACCACTCCCAGTCTTTATTCAGGCCTAATTTGATGGTGTCCAGTTTGCAAATTAATTCCAGTTCTGCAGTTTCACGTTGGAGTCTGTTTTTGAAGTTTTTGGTTGAAGAATTGCCACTTTTAGGTCTATTATTGAATGACCAGGGAGATTGAAGTGTTCTCCTACTAGTTTTTGAATGTTATAATTCCTGAAGTCAGATTTTTGACCATTTATTCTTTTGCATAGAGACTGTCTGGTTTGGCCAATGTACATGGCAGAGGGGCAACAGACTCCAACGTGAAACTGCAGAACTGGAATTAATTTGCAAACTGGACACCAACAAATTAAGCCTGAATAAAGACTGGGAGTGGATGGGTCATTACAAAACCTAATTTCCCCCATACTAATTTCCCCCTACTGTTACTCACACCTTCTTGCCAACTGTTTGAAATGGACCATGCTCATTACCACTTCAAAAGTGATTTTTCCTCCTTTGGTATCCTGCTGTTAATTGTATTGTCTCGTTAGACTGGCCTCCCACTTGGTAAGGCAACTCCCGTCTTTTCATGTGCTGTGTATTTATACCTGCTCCTGTATTTTCCACTCCATGCATCTGATGAAGTGGGTAATATCCCACGAAAGCTTATGCCCAAATAAATGTGTTAGTCTAGGTGTCACGGGGACTCCTCGTTGTTTTTATTAGTATGTAGGTTATTCATATTCAATCTACTGTGTGTCTTTATCTCTGAGGGGCTCAGCTATCCCTCTTTTCTGGCCTCACGAGGCTGCTTAGAAACCGCTTCCCCTTTTTATACGAGTCCCTGCTCTGGTCTTTGTCACTGTGTGCCTGGCGCAGTAATAGGCGGCGGTGTCTGCAGCTGTCAGCGAGCGGAGCTGCAGGGAAACCTGGTTCTTGGCGGTGTCTGCAGAGATGGTGACTCGGCCCTGGAGAGACGGGGCGTAGCCTGTCTCCCTGCTGTTATACGGGTACACATACCCCATCCACTCCAGCCCTTTCCCGGGGGGCTGCCGGATACAGTTCCAACTGTAGCTCAAGTCATTGATGGGTACACCAGAGACAGCACAGGTCAGTGTGAAGGTCTCTCCGGGATTCACTATTCCCGGGCCCGACTGCACCAGCCGCACCTGAGACAGGACACCTGGGAAAAGGAAAACAAAGTAAGGAAAGAATTGACCACCGAATGAATCTATGGTTCAGTCCCTGATTCCCCCACTGTGCCATAGACACTCACAGGTGGGGGCGGAGAGCAGGGAAAGGAAAAGCAACAGAGATTTCATTCTTGTTTTCATGGAAGGAGGGAAACGTCCCCAGTGGTCAGGAACAGGGCCTGATCTGTGTCTAGGGAGGGCCAGGGCCTGTTCTGTGTCTAGGGAGGGACTGAAGTGCTTATAATCAGTGGGGTTGTTTTTAAACAGCAACGCCCTGGGGAGGGATTTGCATGCGGGTTGTACCCAGCGGATATAAGGCGACAGGGAGCCGTGTAGGTAGGGAGTATTGGCTGGTGGAGTGGACAGTAACACGTCTCCATCAGGTCTGGGCTGGGCTGGGGAGGTCACTGAACCTTATGACGCACTTTCCACTCAGTGTAATGTGCCTTAGGAAAGAGGTTAACTGGATCTGTGAATCCCAACCTCCAACAGTGGCTGCTGAGAAATGCATTGGGCATCTCCGAGAAACATAACCAGTGCACAGAAGCAGTCAATATAAATGAGCTGTCAAGGGGGATGAGCAAAGGGGAAGGTGATTCCTCTGTATAATACTAATTAATCAATATCTTGCATTGCAGATATATCCAACGGGGAAAGCGGTGCAGTGTGGAGAGACACTAGGCATTCGGTAGCGGATACAGACAAACAGGGGCAGCGAGGGAGGAGGAAATGGAGGCACAAAGGGACAAGGAAGGTTTGGGGTTTTATGCGATGAAGAACTTTGCACTCAGGGAGTCCTAAGAGTAACCTGGAAGGGAAAGTAGCAGCTTGTAGTTAATGTCACTTTTGAGTTAATAGCTTCATATATATTTAGCCCAGAAGGGACCATTTGAACCCGCTAATCTGACCTCCTGCACGGCACAAGCCAGTGGATTTCCCCCAGTGATTACTGGATGCTTGGCCATGCGCCAGCAGTGCATGTTCACAGGTAATTCCTGCCCCCTGCCCGAGGAGATGAGAATTGCTGTCTGTGCACATAGATGGATGTGTCTGAATGCTTGTGTTTTTCACTGACTGTCCCTGGTGAAGGGGGAGAGCCCAGTTCTGTGTGTTTGTGAAACATGCTCACTCTTTCTCTCTGTGTGCCGCCCCCTGATGGAGATAGTGAGGTCTTCTCACTTTGTGTCTGTTTATACCTTTGTATACAGAACACACACCAACACACACTGCGTGATGACTTTTTCTTACTCCATATCCATTACATCTTTCCTTGTCTGTGCCATTACCTTATTTTATTTCTGTTTCACATAATTCCCGTGGCACGTCGGATTATGCAGACTCACATTTTGACTGAATTTGTATATCACAACAGAATTTTGGGGCAGTGTATTGTGGGACATTAGGGAGACCTTGCTCTGGATAGGGCATGCGGTAGAAGGAAATTACCTAAAGTCTGTTTAGTTTAATAATTTTTTATATATATTTTGTTCATATTCGATTCACTTTCTGTGAGTCTATAAGTGAATCTGTGAGATTGTGAGTGTGTGTGTGAATTTGGCAAATGGTGTTTACATTCACTTTACTGTGGCGGGGATGATCGCTGTGGGTGAGTTTGTTTTCATGTGACTGTATCTGTCACAGCGGGGATCCAACACTCCAATTAAAACTGGTCTCACTGCAATGCATAGAATCCTCTTCCCCCTTTTTTGGACCTAGATGATTAAATAACATTAGAAATCTTCTCCAAAGGGCATTAGAGTTCCACTTATTTTGATTCTGAATTGTCCTCTTTCTTCCTATCAAGATAAAGAATCATTTTATGTCTGCTGTCCAAAACCATCCTTTGATTTTTTCATTATACCCTTCTGCTAACCATAACCCTAACCATAACCCTGCATTTATTTCTAACCTTACCCTTAATCCTAACTCTATCCTCTAGAGTTACTGATGTCTGTTTTTTGCCAGTGTATCCCAGCCACTCCAACCCTGCTAGATCCATGACCAATGGAAACAGCCACTAAGGACTGTAGACCTGGATAAATCAGACACATCACAGATCAGTGTGAGGTTCTCCCCACAAGAACATAAGAACGACCAGACTGGGTCGGACCAAAGGTCCATGTATCCCAGTATCCTGTCTTCCGACAGTGGCCAATGCCAGGTGCCCCAGAGAGAATGAACAGAACAGGTAATCATCAAGTGATCCATCCCCTGTCACCTGTTCCCAGTTTCTGCAAACAGAGGCCAGGGATGCCATCCCTGCCCATCCTAATAGCCATTTATGGACCCATTCTACAGGAATGTATCTGCATTCGCTTCCCCCCTGTAAATATTATTTTATGTCCAGCCACAGTCGGAGAATGGGCTTTCAAATGGTCCTTATTGTGTGTATGGAAACTGCTTCCTGTTTTTGTACCAGTCCCTGCTCTGCTCTGTGTCACTGTGTAGCTCCTGGTGCAGTAATAGGTGGCGGTGTCTGCAGCTGTCAGCGAGCGGAGCTGCAGGGAGACCTGGTTCTTGGCGGTGTCTGCAGAGACGGTGGATCGGACTTGGAGGGACGGAGTGTAGGCTGTGCTCCCATCATATGGATAAATCCCTCTGTCAAGGCTGGATCCCCACTTTGAACTTTAGGGTACAGATGTCGGGGCCTGCATGAAAACTTCTAAGCTTAACTACCAGCTTAGCCCTGGTTCCGCTGCCACCATTTCAATGGATTCCATTTCTGGGAAGCCTTGAAAAACCTTCACCAATTCCCTGGTGAAT